CGCGTTTTTCTTCCATTAAAGTGTCGTCTGCTCCGCATTCAAACTCGATGTTATGAATTGCTGCTGATTCTGTAACTATTCGGGCATACAAAGCAGACGATCGATTTGAAACTGTAATTATCTAAGTATTAATTGATGAGAAATGAATTATCAGTAGCAACGGAGATTGTGTTCCAACATCAACAGAGCAAACAAAAGCTGTGTTAACTTACTGTTGAAATCAAAAGAAAGCTCGAGGCAGTTTCAGGTTTTTGTGTTTGCATGTCGTTAAAATCGACATTTTGCATTTGGGGTACATGTAACTGCACCATTTCGCAAACTATACATGTATCTATTAAATAGCTGTTAAAAGACTTGTTTTTAAAATTGAAAAATTCACCCTTTGGCAATTTTTTTTCTTTCATAGTATGTTGTTATTATTGCAGTAAAGCATGGCTGTATGTCTGCTTTTACCGCATTTGAATTAATTTTATATTCTGCTTAATTACCAACACATATATTAGATAAATATTAAAACAAACGAATAAATAAATTTATTTATTAAATTGTTTTTTATCTATTAATGAAACCGGTCAAAGGAGAACGACTTTCCTCCCTGAAAGACTCCCGAGCTGACGTCTGGTGTTTCCAGGGATCCGTGTCTTCAGTGGCGGATCCAGGAATCTCAAAAAGAGGTGGGGCCCATAGCCACACCAGTAAAAATCAATTTATCAAATCTTATGTGTATTTAGGACACAGATGGGGACTGGGTCCCACCTTAATCCGCCAGTGGTGTTTGCCCTGTTTACGATTCGTATTGTCCATTGCTTTATGAGAACGATTGCTGTGAGATATCTTTATTTTATTCATCATCGATAAAAATCAAATAAATGAAAGGATTTATAAACATGGAGCATATTTTATGAAGATCATATGAAAATAAAGGACATATATATATCAAATTTATTACGAATCTTGTCTGATTGATAACTAGTACAAACAAAATAACATTATACTACTGCACGTACGGGATTTTGTACATTTTTTTTTCCTTCATAAATTATATTTAACTTGATCATTCTTTTCATTATGAAAAATGTAGCTTAACATAAAGTTTGCGTGTTAATTTCATACATTTTTTTAACCCTAGCTTCAACTAGTAAAATCCGTTCTACATTTCCTGAATTCGGTACATGTATTTTTTTTTTTTTTACAACGTTTTTAATTTGCCCCTTGTGTGAACCAATGACAAGGAAAAAGTCTTTTCTAAGAGTTTATTTAACAGTAGTGAAATGAGTACAGAATACAAATGATGATCGTATAGTGGTTCAGAACAAAAGAGATGACACTAATCCTAAAGTGGCTCGTGATCGTATAGTGTCTCACGATCCCTCCTAGAACGTTGCTCCGAAGAGCCCCGCTCTGAGAAGTGCGGCCCAGATGAAAGCGAGAGAATGAGCGCTTAGTAAAGTTAGACTGTTATTTTATAATGTACAATATATGATACTCATTTACATATGAAACAAAACAAATCAGATTCAAGTAAACAAGTTATACAAAATTTGGTCAAAATCCTAGAACTTTATAAAGTAAATTATAATATAAAAACATAAGCTTCAGTTCAGTGTCCTGGTATTGTGCAAAAGTTAATAGAATGTTAAAGTAAGTTTTTGCAATGTTCCGTTACTCTTCCTGTATTGATGTCCGAGGATAGATAAACATCCTGGTTGATTACAGTGTCCTTAATCCGATTAACGGGTTTGTTTACTTTTACGGAAAGGTATTACACTTTCACATCCCAATTGGATTATAGGTCAGTTCACTCTATCATGAGTACATTTTAATAAGCTTATTTTTATTTTCTTGATTAAAATAATAGTCTCAAACCCTGTAGGTTTACACTTGCTGCAGTATCTGCGCATGTTTCAGAAGAAAAGGTCATTTTTATTACCGCGTTAATGAAAAGGAATAATTGCGCCTTGGAGTCGGCTAAACTGTTGATGTCTTAAATAATCAGCCCAAAACGTGAATTAAAAATTATTGACAGGGTAGACGAAGAAGGCAAACTTATCAAGAGTAATTACTAAGTAAACTTATAAGGTAAGCAAATTATTTTTTTGTGTGAGGGAGGGGTGTTAATATATTTTGATTTAAGGACAGATGATAAAAACAAGAAAACGGATGCTTGGATTGGTAAAATGGTATATTTCTGGGTCTATTGTTATTGTAAATGATGTAAATGACAAATTTTTATAATATTATATGAAATTGTAAACTTTATATGCATGGTGCTCAAAATTCTAACTTTCTGCAACCATCGTTATTAGCCTATACACAATTTTTGTCACCTCAGATCCCATTATTGCGAAACTTTGAAGGAAAAATTAAAAAGAAAAATTCGGTTAATCTAGTTCATTTTTCTTAAATAAACAGGACTCAAGTTTTCATTTTCATTTTTAGCTCACCTGAGCCGAAGGCTCAAGTGAGCTTTTCTGATCACATTTTGTCCGGCGTCCGTATAAACTTTTCACATTTTCGACTTCTTCTCAAGAACCACTGGGCCAATTTCAACCAAACTTGCCACAAAGCATCCTTGGGTGAAGGGGATTCAAGTTTGTTCAAATGAAGGGCCATGCCCTCATTCAAGGGGAGATAATTGGGAATTAATGAAAATTTGGTGGCATGTTTTAAAAATCTTCTTCTCAAGAACCACCTTGCCAGGAAAGATGAAACTTATGGGGTAACATCTTCGGGTAGTGTAGATTCAAGTTTGTTCAAATCATGACCCCCGGGGGTAGGGCGGGGCCAAAATGGCCGACCAAAGTTTTACATAGAAATATATTGGAAAATTCTTTAAAAATCTTCTCAAGAACCACTGTGCCAGGAAAGATGAAACTTATGGGGTAACAAAGTGTAGATAAGTTTTTATAATATTTTACAAAGAAATATATAGGAAAATTCTTTAAAAATCTTCTTCTCAAGAATGACAGAGCCATAATTCATCAAATTTATATGGAAGCATCCTCAGGTAGTGAAGATTCAAGTTTGTTCAAATCATGACCCCCGGGGGTAGGGCGGGGCCAAAATGGCATTTTATATAGAAATATATAGAAAAATTCTTTAAAAATTTTCTTCTCAAGAATGACAGAGCCATAATTCATCAAATTTATATGGAAGCATCCTTAGGTAGTGAAGATTCATTTGTTAATCATGACCCCCGGGGGTAGGGCGGGGCCAAAATGGCCGAGCAAAGTTTTAAATAAAAATATATATGAAAATTCTTTAAAAATCTTCTTCTCAAGAATGACAGAGCCATAATTCATCAAATTTACATGGAAGCATCCTTAGGTAGTGAAGATTCAAATTTGTTCAAACCCCCGGGGGTAAAAATGGCCGATATATATATAGGAAAATTCTTTAAAAATCTTCTTCTCAAGAATGACAGAGTCATAATTCATCAAATTTATATGGAAGCATCCTCAGGTAGTGAAGATTCAAATTTGTTCAAATCATGACCCCTGGGGGTGGGGCGTGGCCAAAATGGCCGACCAAAGTTTTACATAGAAATTAATGGGAAAATTCTTTAAAAATCTTCTTCTCAAGAATGACAAAGCCATTATTCATCATATTTATATGGAAGCATCTTCAGGTAGTGTAGATTCAAATTTGTTCAAATCATGACCCCAGGGGGTAGGGCGGGGCAAAATGGCCGACCAAAGTTTTACATAGAAATATATGGGAAAATTCTTTGAAGAATAGCAAATCCATGATTGATCATGGGATTACTTTTGGATTTTAACTTTTCAATGATGAACCAATTTCTACTTTTTCTAAGCTACAGTACTCAGGTGAGCTGTGGCCCAATAAAATATTGTTTTTTTTATCATGGGGCTTTTTATCAGTTTCAAATATTAGAATCGCCCTACATGTACATGTAATGTGTTCAATACTGACCCTCTCAACATTTTTTCCAGAATTTTCTCATTGAAATTGTACATGAAGATAACTGAGCAATTAGTTTGATTGTCATGGCTACATGTAAAAGTCAGGAATACTAAAAAAAGATGGCCACAGAGAGAAAAAGGTTCAGGAATATCAGGAAGCATGATAAAGTGCTTTCAAAAAATATACACTCGCACTTGTAGCCGTGTATTCATAATATATTAAATCATATTTTCATTGTTATAATTTTATACCATGATTGAAAGCAATCAAATTACATTTACTGTTAGCAATATTGGAGCAATTAAAATCTATTGAAATAAAATCCATCGATTTGTTGCACGTAGATCAAAGAATATTTAATAACACGGCTGCATGGTTCATATACTTTGATAAAAGATCAAATTTATTTTGTAGCCATATTTGGTCAATTTGTATAAATATATTTGTGCAACACGTATTTAAACAGTCGAATGCTTTCTCTAAAATGTTTAATTAACCTCCCCGGCCTTACTTCCAATGTTTCAGTCAAGGGTTGCCGCGTGAGCTCCAATGGCAGTGGAGATTTTACGATCGTACTAGTAATCAAAATAATAACCAGAATCTAAGCATCCTCTCAGATCTGAATCTTAATTATTTGTTTTTCCTTTTCATCCATAGAAAAACAAACATATTCACATGTATAACATGTTGACCTATAATACTCAGAGTGAGTAGATAGCAAATATGTACAAGTAAAAAAAAAATCTTTTTTTTTCTGCGAATCTCATGTACACGTAAATAAGAGTTATCTCTCTTCAGTCTAACTCTTGTGTAAAGAAGGTTATAAACGCTTCAAGAGTAGTTTGACCAGTTCAGGAAAACAACTGCATCAAATGCATGTGATCACCGTGATGTTGAAAATAGCTACTTATATCCTCCATTAAGTTAATAGGTAATTTTGAATTAGGTTCTGTAACTTATAACCTTATCTATCTAAACAATACAATCGATAATTTAATCATCACATTCACTTGCTGCGTTGCATGTTACATACCGACTTGCCTGCACTGTACATTCATCGTTCAATACAACAAAAGTTGGTTGGACTTGAAGTTGTGGGTACTAACTACTGCTCGCTCTGGAGGAGGACAACCCATTGGTGATTTTTTTTTTACTAACACCTTTCTCCAGACATGAGATCAAAGGTTTTCTAGCGTACTGTGTTAAGTGTTTGAAGTTAAAGCTCTGTTGGTGAAGAAGTTTGTTGTTTAAAAATTAAAAGTTATGACATTGTGCATTTCTTTGGTATAAAAAAAAAATACCTGTCAAGATCTTGGAAAAAAATGTTGCAATGAAACCGTAAAGCCGGCAGAGTTTTTTTGAAATCAGGTTTACTAGTCTACACCGGGATTAAAAAAGACAACCAATCCATTAAAAGAAACTTTAATGTAATTTGAATTTTACATCCTCTAAATGACAAGTTAGTATCATAGATGACCCTTTCCTTTTCTATCCCCCACTCCCATTTACATGTAGTAGCATCAGACTGGTGCATATTGCATTCGTGAACACGAATAATACATTTGATATATATGTTCACTGTATCTTATCATATTTTAAAAAGTTTTTTTTCCCTGAATATTAAAGTAATGAATAATTTGATCTTGTCCTTGAATGAGCTCAACATTGTTATTGATGGATCGCCCATATTTGTCTTAGGATATGACACATAAATGCAATAATCCGTTGTCTTTTATCATTTTTATGTCCATTGTGTAATGTAGGTAGAAACCAAACAATTTTTAATGACAGCTACTAAATTTATCCATCTGCTTTGTCAAAATTTTATCTGTAAGTCAATATATCACGATTGATATCATTTCATAAAAGAGTAAAATGAAAATTTGTGCAACACAAAAACTTTAAAAAAATAAAAAATATATATTGGGTCATCATGTGTTGTCAACTCAACTGTGCTATTTCTCTCTGATTAGTAGAAATGTTTCCTATAGTATTCTACATGTATATCGGCAAAATTATTGGGGGAGCCACCCCCCCCCCTACCCCACCCCGTGTCCCCTGGTTCATACGAACATAAAGTGGTCTACAGAACTGTCATATGAAGCAAGTTAGTGTAAACTTATTTGTGCTATCGTTTCCATGCCCTGCACATGCATAAGAAATAAACAGTATATCTTAAACTTGTATTTTGATCATCCATATTTTTCTTCAATCGGTTTGGGGTGTTTCCTCTAGGATATAATAATGGCTATTAAAAGGCCTATTTTATGCCCCTTACTCAACATCTTTATATCTTTTTCTCTCAAAATTAATATAAGGTTGATACCGGTATTTACAAAGCAATAACCAAGTGACATGTCATAAATCGACCCCGAAAATCGCATACATGTGTATCTGATTTAAAAAAAAAATACATAATTATTTCAAATTTCAAAACGGGTTAATGTGATTCCTTATTAAATGTATATCAAATTAAACTCATGAAGGGGACAGTGTTTTATTTTCAATTGATTATCTGGGTATCCAAAGAGAGATGATACTCATAGAAATTAAATTCCCTGAATCAAAACGTTTGTGATTTATAGTTGCTATGGAATCGTCCGAAATGAGGTCGTTCGCCCCGACCCCATTACGCTACCGAAGATCCAAACCAATTTCACCTGCGTTCCGGTTCAACTCCGTCCCAATATCAAAAGTATTTGACTGAAAACGACTTAGATTGTTTGTTTGTGTGGTTAAACTCTAAACAGCGGGTGTTTCTTTGACAGAATTTTAAAAGTCGATTAACATATGAGGTTATTGTGAAATTGCTCTCGTACATGTCCATTAAGAAATGGCAGTGTAAGAATTTCCTAGAGAGACAATTAATTCCATTCGATTTATTTCACGCTTGTGATATATTGATTCGCGCTGTCGACATCAGGGATTTCAACATATAATAATAGGGAAAAAATCCTGTGTTTAAAAAGTTGACCACGTGACAGCGATTGCAAAACTGCTTTTTCGTGAGTTACTTAATCAAAAAAAAATTAAAAGCTGGGAGGAGTTGCATTTGAAAGGTAGGAAGAAATTGTATCCTACGGTTAAAAATGGACTTTTTGTACTTTTGATTCACCAAATATATCATGCTTTTATCATTTTTTGTATGCTAAAAAACGATTTTTATTTTCACGAATAAATCTTGAAAAAAATTGGATAAACAATTTTCGCACCCCCCCATCACAAAATTAGATAAAACAAATGTTTTGCATGTCGGTCGCACCTTTTCTCTACTGATGAGAACGATTATTGACCTAAAAGTTTGAAAATTGATGCTGAAATTTTAAATCGATGAAATGTATTAAACAGCTTTAATTCGCCAGCCAGCACATCTGTGTGTGTGATCGTTACATTGTATACACGTAGGGTATCTTTCATATATGTAGGAGTGTTCCACATGTTGAGTATAGTTTATTCATTTTCATAAAATTATCAACTTTTCCGTAAAAAATGCATTTTTTTTTTCACTGTTATAAAAAGATATTTTTTCAACTGGTTTACTTAATATAATTTGACCTACGTTTATATCTTCTAAATTCCAGTGAAAATTTTATTTTTAAAGTTGAGGATTTCACGCCGTTTGAACGCATATTATTTTTTTTCCCGTATCTACATTTTATGCTTAATGTTATGCATACTGTAATTTGAGTTAGATTTTAGTTAAATCTTCGATATGTCGTCATATTCAAGAGTTTTATCTGATATATAGTGTAAATTCTACCAGAGGTCATTAACTAGAAACAAATATGACACTCAAATAGGATTTTCTCCGCACATGTATATTTAAAATTTTTGATATTTGATTTTTTTATTTGCATATTTGTCTGAAAACAATCAAACCTGCTTTTTGGACAAAATTTAACATTGTTAAACCCTAATGCTATCTTCACACCCCCCCCCCCCACCCCCGTATATAGTATGTGCAAGTGCATGTTAAATATCGTGATGAAATAATAAACAATTGAAGTAAACATGTCATTCAGTTGGACTGCTCTCCTTTTAAACTAATCCAAGTGTTACATAGATAAAATAGTTGATGAACAATTTGATTCCAAGGCCGAGGGAAGTTTGAGAATCATGGGGTGAAAATAAATAGGAGATATTACGGTTTTAATGTCTTTTAAGATATTCACATTCTTTTCTTGTCTGAAGTCGAAATTTACAATGCATTACAATTATCTGTATTAGGATCGAGTTTTTACAATTACTTCTCGACATATTTCTTTTACTTTGTTTTAAACACCGAATTTATTTAATTAGCTCTTTCATGAAAAATGAATTGATGACAAAGTATGAGATAGAGAGAGGGATTTTCAGTGGCGGATCCAGAAAATTTAAAAAGGGGGAGAGCGACTAGTTTAAGGTCAGGGTAGGGACCCAAAAAACATTGATTTATCAAATTTTGTGTATTTTTTTGGATATGCCCTCTCTAAATCCGTCAGTGATTTTCAACAGCTAGATTTATATGTACAGCATATTTAAAAGTTAAAATGGATTGACATGACAAATTCAAAGATCGACATTTTAATGTACCGTTTTAAATCCACCCTATAATCTCTCCGATGGAATTTAAATGAAAGCTTCGCTATTATTTAACGTGATATAGTTACTGTAAACATTATACAAGTCGGTCATCGTCAAGAATGTTATGAAAGTAAGGGGGTATTATGGTCCATTGCAAAGGTTTACGGTATAAAGTCAAGTGATAAAAAATTTAATCCGTTGCTCCAGTTTTGGACTTAAGCCATTGTATGCACAAATGAAAATCTTTATTTCGCAATTTTAACGCAAATGTGTTTCTTTTGTTTACTTTAAACTTCACCATGGACGATTTAAAATCACAGACAACCAGGTGAAAATAGAGGACGATGCGCGTTTTGTGGAAAATTCAATTTTGCGATCTACTCTGAAAAAGATGAAAACAAACTTATACTTAATGATCAAAGATTTATGGAGTGAAACGTATCATTTTATATTTATCTGAGCGTGAAAAAGTAAAGACATTTTTGAATTTCTCTTAAGAGAAGATGAGAAAGGTGAAAGGAAACGTCTCAATGATCAAAGATTAATGGAATGACAAATATCATTTTATATTGAGCTGACTTTGAAAATTAAAGAAATTTTTGAATTTCTTTTAAAAGAAGATGGATTTTTTTCACCAAATCTAAAATCCTTCTCAAGGAAATGTTCGCCTTTCAATCAAGATTCCGTTTTACAGAGCTTCCCATTTTACACTACCTAGAATCTATTGTTCAAACTCTCTCTCTCTCAGAATTTACACAATTCATATAAGGATTCGTTGTTGAATTTTAGACTGTAAGAGCAATTCTAAAATCAAAAATAAATACTAGTATTCTTTTTTTAAAGTATTTGGCTTATTATCAATATTTGATATAGTTTTATATCTATATAAATAAAAAACGTACAAAGCAAAGGTCTCGAATTTATAAAGCAGTATTTTAATTGCCAACCACAGTTGAGAAGTACAACTATAAAGTAGAAATGCAAGCAGTCTTAGAAGATTGTTTTCCAAACCTTAACCTCAGACACTGGATATTTATTCGAAACAAACTGAAGTTTTAGAAGCAATTTCAATCCTCATATAAACATGTATTTTATTTTCTATTTGATAGGGGCAGCATGAAGTGTTTCCTTGGGTTCAACAAGCTAGACCTCCGAATTAACACCCCCGAGGATGAGTGGGTGTTTAAGGAGGAGCCCCACTCCTCCCGCCGACAGGAAATCCTCCGAAAGTATCCGGAAATCAAAAAACTGATGGGATATGATCCAACCATAGCTTACATAGTGACAGTCGAGGTTCTCATTCAAATCTTCATGTGTTGGTTACTGAAAGATTCCAACTGGGCCACAATCTTCATTCTAGCGTACTGTTTCGGGGGTGTCTTAAATCATTCATTAGGTAGTGCTATTCACGAAATTGGCCATAACCTGGCCTTTGGACATAGTCGACCGTGGGCCAACCGACTTCTTAGCATTTGGTGCAATTTACCTATTGTAGCTCCAATGGCTATAAGCTATAAGAAGTACCATGCTGACCATCACCGATACTTAGGGGAAGAAAACCAGGATGTTGATATTCCTACGCGGCTGGAGAGTTTCTTATTCCGCCACCCAATCACCAAAATATTGTGGCTTATTACCCACCCGATCATCCACGCCATCCGACCCTTCTACAAGAGTCCGAAACCTCTGACCGGGTGGGAAATTATCAACACTATTTGTCAAATGGCCTTCAACGGACTTATTCTGTATTTCTTCGGCATAAAGTCTTTGACCTACTTGCTATCAGGAACGTTAATGGCGCTGGGATTCCATCCTCTAGCCGGGCATTTTATTTCCGAACATTATTTGTTCCACGGAAAACAGGCGACAACCTCGTACTATGGCCCGCTCAATTTCATACTGTTTAACGTTGGTTATCATATTGAACATCACGATTTTCCATACATTCCGCATACTCGTCTTCCAGAAGTGAGAAAAATCGCGGCGGAATATTATGACCATCCCTACCATACATCGTGGGTCAAGGTGCTGTGGGACTTTGTGTTTGACCGTGAGATGGGACCCCACGCCCGAGGGGTGGGGTACAGGAAGGTCGATGTTAAAGAGGAATAATTATATGCATGTGTAAAGACGTATACGATTGCATATGTAAAGATGTGTATTATTAAATATGATTGTGGCCAATATTTATTGAATATGAGAGCGGAAATAATGAAGGATGGGTGTCCACTGCGTATTTTCTGTCGTTTCTTGAATAACTGTACAGAGTGTATCTTGTATAAGTCTACGTTTCCTTTGTCTGTTACTTGAGCCTTGTTGGTTATGACTGTTGTGTGGTTTCTTGGACAATTCTTTCATATTCTAGTTCATAATTTACTGAATATTTATTTTCATTTAATAAATTTGTTGCTCTATAAAACATATTGTTATATAATTGCATGGTGCATGTATATATACATGTTTATTTTTTGACAAACTTGAAAGCTGGGAAACATAACCTACGAGGGCTGTTCAATAAATAATGCCCTGGGCTTTATAACACACAGCATAGAATTATATGACATAAAGCTTGACTTTCTCTCATGAGTGAATCTTAAACAATCTTTAATGAAGTAATTAAACTTTATGTGACCATTTTTCAATTTAATGTTTCATTGTGAGAAGCTGGAAAACAAGGGCTATTCGAGACACTGTATTATAAATGAATCTTAAGGAATCAGTAAACTAGAGTGAAATTTAACGCTTTCATGAAAGCTGCTGTAAAACTCGTTAATAATCCTCCAAAAAATATTCACCGAACTATGTGCCATTTACAGCAACCAATGTATGTTTTATTGATACATGAGAAGGTTGAATTCAATGACCAAAAATAATATAAAGGGCATCAAAAATAGGTACCATCCTTTTGCAATAATTTTTACCAATTTACCGTTTGCCAAAATTCAACAAGTGGTAACAGATGATGTTTGATTGACTTTAAGACACAAAACAAAATTGATAGGCACCAATTTGGGGGTAGAATACATTGTTTTCGAGAAACATTTGACAGTTAAAAAGCTTAGTACTCAATGGTAACATATATTTATAAAAGTTATGGTAAAACACGTGTGTTTGTTTTGTATGCAGATTAAGTCCATCGATAAAGGAGATCGATTGGTTGTTTATTTGTTTACGGGTGAATAGGTTGAATCCGTGCTACGCATGATTCAGACACGTATAAGGTAGATTTTCGGGTGTTTTAAGTTATTCGAAGTTCGCTGCTACATTGCAACAGACTTATGTTCGCTTAGATCGGAGATAGAAATCAGTCTATACTAGATGAGCGCCTAGCTTCATGTAGAAACAGTTGCTGATTATGCACAAACAAACAGAGCCGAGGTTCCGGGCATCTCTGACACGTTTGGACTCCATGTGGGTGGAAATTGGCACATTTGAAGGTGCAGCTACAAACTGGTAATTTCTTATTTGCGACTTCCTCAAAGAAAGAACGAAAGTATAAAAATAACATTTGAATTTTAAACACTGTTTATATTATTTACGATAGGGTAAAGGACCATATAAGCACCCTGCGTCTTTCACATTAAGGCAACAAAATTTCATTCTGTTAATCGTAATTCATGAAAGCTTGAGTGATTAAAACGTTTGTCAACGTCTAATCTTCTGCCAGTTTTGTTTCTTTAATTGTTACTAAGCCTCATAGACCATAGGACTATGTAAGCTACGGCTACGACTCTTACAGCAGATAGAGGCACGCGCAGAACAGAGAATCTGGTAAGCATTTGGACACAGATTAATGTCCGTTTTTCAGCTTGAACTTAGCTTTTTAAAAAATTAAAAAAAATTAAAAAAAAAAAAACAAAAAAAAAAAAAAACGTGTTACTTGAGAATGAGTATAATTCTAGTAAAGTCACGGTAGTAATTAATACACCTACGTACCTGGTACATGTATATATAATTTTATATCTATATGATGGGTTGGAATTTGGTAGCAATTATGAACAAAGTTCCACTGTTTCTAATTTATAGTAACGAGACACACTATTTTGGAAGCTAATTGTATTTGAATTTCATGATATGGTTTGAACAGTCCTAAAATTTTACAATTCTACATTGTACTGTGACACATTGATGCATAGAACTGCATATAGCTGGTTCATTTTTCTGAAGTTGTTTTCAAATCTTGGAAATAATGTAAAGTGTACATGTAATTGAATATATAGTTCCTGATGTTCCTGATATAAACTCGAAAAATGATGAAACATTGTTTTATTTTAGTAAAAATTTTTATTCAATAAAACCTTTGTTTAGCCACAGTGGTTTTTATGCTCCTAATTCTGGACGTTGTACAATGTATTTTAAAATACGTAGAAATGAAGAACATAAGATAAATGCATATTATTGATGCTCCATAATTTGTACATAATGTATTCCGATGCTGATAAATATTATAGAGTATCAATTTAAGACAGTGTTTATAATAGCCTTCATTATGCATTTTGCATGTCCTAATTTAGTGTTTTCTATCTGTTATGAAGAAAATACGACTCAAGAGTTGATATCATGATGATATTCGCAAGACCTATTGCCATATGTATTGATGTATTGCAGACAAGGCCCTTTTTAAGTTCTATAAGTAGCTTGAAGAAGCTGGCATGGTCTGGCATGTAGTATGATGCAGACAAGGCCCCTTTTGAAGTTCTGAAAGTAGCTTGAAGAAGCTGGCATGGTATGAGAAGTAGTATGATGCAGACAAGGCCCTTTTGAAGTTCTGTAAGTAGCTTGATAAAGCTGGCATGGTCTGGCATGTAGTATGATGCAGACAAGGCCCTTTGGAAGTTCTAAGTAGCTTGATGAAGCTGGCATGGTCTGGCATGTAGTATGATGCAGACAAGACCCTTTTCAAGTCCTGTAAGTAGCTTGAAGAAGCTGGCAGGGTCTGGCATGTAGTATAATGCAGACAAGGCCATTTTCAAGTTCTGTAAGAAGCTTGAAGAAGCTGGCATGGTCTGAGATGTAGTATGATGCAGACGAGGCCCCTTTTCATGTTCCGTAAGTAGCTTGATGAAGATGGCATGGTCTGAGATGTAGTATGATGCAGACGAGGCCCTTTTCAAGTTCCGTAAATAACTTGATGAAGCTGGCATGGTCTGAGATGTAGTATGATGCAGACGAGGCCCTTTTCAAGTTCTGTAAGTAGCTTGAAGAAGCTGGCATGGTCTGAGATGTGGTATGATGCAGACAAGGCCCTTTTCAAGTTCTGTAATTAGCTTGAAGCTTGCATGGTTTGAGATGTAGATTGATACAGACAAGACCATAGAGAATTCAGTAAGTAGTTCGAAGAAGCTGGCATGGTTTGAGATGTAGTTTTACAAAGAAACGACCATATAAAATTCAGTTAGTAGCTTGAAGAAACTGGCATGTTTGAGAGGGTTTGATACAGACAAAACCACTTAAAATTCAGTTATAGTAGCTTGAAGAATCTGGCATGGTTTCAGATGTAGTATGATGCAGGCAAGACCCTTTCAAATTCTGTAAGTAGCTTAGATGAAGCTGGAATGCTTGAATGGTTCATCATGTACAATGATCATAAAATTATTTTTGAAATTTTTTAAATTTTCGAAGAAGTTAACATTTTTGGAATGTAGTATTGACTAGTATATTTAGCAAAAGACCTTCAAAAGACCTGTAAGTATCTTGATGAAGCTGGAAAATTCCGAGATGTATGGTTACGCAGACAATTCTCTTTGTTGGATTTGTAAGTATTTTCGAAGTTGACATGACCTTAAATATAGTTGCCTTCTTGTCTTTTGAAGATGTGTAAAATTATAGTATCTCATTGAAGCAGGAAACTCGTTTTATCGATAAATGCAAGTACGTAAACTTCTAAAGATATACAAAAGTGCAATTTGTTTGAGATGTATTTGCAGACATATTTGAAATTTCAATTGACAAAGCGAAACTACTGTACTTGCGTATTTATATTTTAATAGCTTAAATACTAATATAGCATTGTCTTGTTTATTCTGTAAAGGAGGCCAAATTGTAACTGTGCTTCCTATAATCACAGACTCTGTTGGACTGGATTCTAAGCGTTTAGAAAATGATTTGGGAATAATAAAGCAGTTTGATATCACAATCTGATTTTGAAATTTTTGGAGCAAAGTTTTTCAGGTATCTTTAGTCAGGACACACGGACCAGATGTTTTGCAAAACTTTCATTGAAGGATTTGTCTGAAGACTTCCAAAGCTGTGTTTAAAATCAAGGTTCGGACAAATCACCTCTAGTCAAAATCAAAGAGGAATAATGTTTACATTCTGGTAGGTGTAGTTCAGTTCTTTTGTCCTATTGCTAATAACCAAGAGATGTTTAGAAAAGGTTAATAATTGAGTTTGATCAGATGAGTATAATTTATGATTGATTTAAATTTATTTTGTATTGTAAAAGTTATTCTTGTGTATCTGGAAGTCACAATCTTGTACAAGAAACAGAGAAATTCTGTAAGCACTCAAACTTTTAAGTTTATATAAGTAATTTTATTCTTCATAGTGTTTTAACGGGGTTGCTATCTGAACTGCAAATGCTGATATGTATGATTCACTAAAAAAAAAAAAAAAAAAAAAAAAATCAACGTAGAAGGCTTTTTGAGTTCATCTGAAGACGTCATGGTTAAAAGGAAAAGAAAACTCTTCAGCCGGGAAGGATAACTCTTTTATTTAATGATTTATTCATAAAGTCATGAAAGTCTCCAAAGGAAGCTTGAAATTGAAATCTTTATATATAACAAATTGAATTTCATGCAACTTAAGGTTCATTAATACTCTGATAAGAGAGATAACTCTGAATGACATAAATGTCTAATATTCCTTTATAGATTTGCAAGTGTCTTTTTTGTCTAATTGCATGTATTTTACTTATAAATACATTTCTTTTTTGGAAAATCATTTAGGTTCAAGCAACATTTCATACCAGTGAGCAGACTGAGTGTTTATGAATCTTAATTAATGTAATTGAAAGTTCTTTGAACATTTTTATACAAATGTCCTCGATTTAGCCTTAAATACCAATTTTTAAGTTTGATATAAATTTATAATTGATTTATGAAGTTTAGCATTCATAGCAAACGCTTTATAAACTACAGTATTTATGCATAATAATAATTGTGCAGTATACATAGAAGAAATTAAAGTAACACAGAACTCAGTATAAAAATCTGTGGAGTTTTCTTCAAATGCTTGGAAACCTATAATTTTTAACATAGATATAATTGTCGAAAACCTTTCGTTTGGAAAATGCATGTTATAGGTGAATTCATTTGCATTCCCGAAAAGTTATATTTTTATTCTCCTAAATAATATTAACTTTTCTTTATGAAGTTTGAAGAATGATCAATGTGGGTAAATACGCATCACTTTGAGAATTCTGCGACATTTTTATGATAATTTTTAATTATTCAAGGCCTGGTTTGAAAAACGTAATAATTGGATTACCTTGAAGTCTTGATATCTAGGGGTGGGGTCATACACGTTTCGATAATTTTATGTCAATGCTTTCTTTATCGTCGAAGTCTGTTGCACTCGCGCATGCGAGCTCATCCTATATAAAGTGTTTTTGAGTTTTATTTATAAATAATTTATGTTCGTTTGAACTGGTGAATTTAGAACATAAATATATTTATAAAAGTTATGGTAAAACACGTGTGTTTGTTTTGTATGCAGATTAAGTCCATCGATAAAGGAGATCGATTGGTTGTTTATTTGTTTACGGGTGAATAGGTTGAATCCGTGCTACGCATGATTCAGACACGTATAAGGTAGATTTTCGGGTGTTTTAAGTTATTCGAAGTTCGCTGCTACATTGCAACAGACTTATCCCCCACCCCACCCACCCCTTCCAGTATGATCGATACACTGTACACGTTTAAATGTTCGTTTTAATGTTGACTGTCGCTTTATTTGTTTCTTTTTCTTTTGTAGAATGATTTGGATTTCAGAAGTTAAGCTAAAGACTGTGCTTTGTATACTGTATACACTTCATTAAAGTCTGTTGCACTCGCGCATGCGAGCTCATCCTATATAAAGTGTTTTTGAGTTTTATTTATAAATAATTTATGTTCGTTTGAACTGGTGAATTTAGAACATAACTTACGTTTTGAAAACAGGGTGTAAGAATATCTAGACAATTATTTTTATAAAATCATAAATTGTTATTCATGTTTGTTTGAAATTCAAATATATAGTGAAACTTGAATCCATTGCTTTAAACCCTCAAAACAATTATACAATTAGATGTACTTAACAAAAACAGCCACTGTCTAAGAAGAACAAAGAATTGCAAAAGCATAAAAACTCTGCCACTTTAAAAACATATTAGTGATCTTATTTTACAAATTCTTATTTGGGGAGGCAGTTCAATTTCTGAAGAAGATTAAAAAGCAAAATTTTTTTTTGCTAAAAAAAGTCGAAATATTTATGAGCAACAAGAATCAGAAATCCACTACATTACTTCTTTATGACAGCGTCCGAACACACACGCAATGGTGAGTTAAATATTAAATAAGTTTTGGAAATAAACGGAATGTTAAGATTTTGTCACATCAACAAGATTCGAAAGGTCTTTGACCCTATGACTTGTTTCATTTTCCAAACTTGAAAAAAAAACAACACATTTCAGAAAGAAGAAACAAATCCAGGAGATCAAAGGATCTGCCATATTCCAGTAAACTAAGGACCATACTCAAACATGTGTTCTAAAACAATCACGTGCACGAATTGGAAAGAAAATGTTGCATGGGTTTTAAATAAAAGAGAGTATTTAAATGAAATCATTAGGACTAAATCATTAAAAAGAGTTTTTGTTTCTTTCCGAACAGCGATGACATTATATTTCCATTTCTATTTTTTCTATTCGATAACTCTTTGAAATTTAGCGATGTTAATTTCTTGATAATTCTACCGGAATGTAAATTAGGCAGGCCGTCAGGTCAGTAGCAAAGGAGGGCCCATATGCATGCAATTCTCGTGCGCATCTGTCTCTGTGTTAGACGCTAAGGAGGCAAAATATGCATATAAATAAATCACGTGTAGCTGCTTTGTGTTTGACGTCTGTGGGCGAGGACTATTGAAATTGGCATGGGAATCCTCATGTAATTTAAATATCTCCATTTCTAATTTTTCTCTCTATGATAACCCTTTGAAAAATAGCGGAGTTGATTTCTTGATAATCAGGTCGATAGGTTAGGAGTTAAGGAGGCCTAATATGCATGCAAATCTCGTGCGCATCTGTCTCTATCTGACGCAAAGGAGGCCAAATATGCATGAAAATCTCGTGCGGCTGCCTTTATGTTTGGCGTCAGTGGGCGAGGACTATTGAAATTGGCATGGGAGTCCTCGTGTAATTGAATCTATGCCTACAATTTAAAAATCTAAATCTACAGTTTTATTTCACGATGAAATGGAAATATAAGGAATCACTGTTTAGTTAGTATAGTATGCCAGGGACATCAACGATAGTGGGAACCAAGGGATAATTTATGCCCGTTATGCATATTATCCCATGTTTCCTACTATTGTTGATGCCCTGGCATACTATACTAACTAGACAGTGATTCCTTAAATATATTGAACAGCCATCATATAAACTGTAAATAACTTTTTTGCGACACCTTATTTTTATGATAAAGACGTTAATCCTTTATAAGCAAGACAATTTCTTTTACAGATTATGGATATTGCTCAATATAATCTAAATAAAATAATACAAATTTACACGAGAATATCAATAATATTTTTGCGAGCACACAGTCTCGCCTTATTGTGCAAAAATAAAGTTATCACGAACAAAACGTATGTTTCAATGTAAAGTTGTCTTCGTTTGTTATAATCTTTTTTCGGTGTTCACCAATTACATGTGTAATACCCGAGGTGTTCGAAGGCCTTGTGGCTCTGACGAGATTAAGTTAGACTACAACGAGACGTATGGTAGATCAGGTAAATTATTCATGAAAATGTGGTTTGAAATTAATTAGCACGTGCAGGCAAAGTAAACAAAAAAGTTTAGCATGGAAGAATATTTTTTCCATGGTCTTTTCAAGAAAAAGACAATAATACTTTTTTTTTTTATTTCTAGATTTTCCTAACATTCTTCCAATGAGTCAAGCAAGACCACGAGTTTAAAATAAAATAAGTTATGGTGTTCTTGGGCTTGAGTAACATGAAGATTTAGTTTGCAATCTTTTTTAAAGTTCAATCTCAATATGTTTCATCCTAAAGGTTTTTGCTTACGGTATTAAATTTTGTCATGCATAATTTTCCTAATTTCAAGGCTTTTTTGTTGTTGCAATTCTGCCTAATAAATCTCTGAGTTTATTGAGGTCATGTGCTGATGGATGGCAGATGCGAAGTAATTTCTATTATTTATTTGTTGACAAACTATCAATATGAATACCTCTTATATTTCTAAAAGCTATGCTGAAGTAAATAAATATGCACGTTTGCATTGTGGCTAGGATAAAGTAGTTCATGGTGTAGACCGGCTCCATAATAAAGTTTTGATGAATTCATATATATTCCAGTTTTTGTGAAGCAATTTAAGTGTAAAGCTCGGTCCGGATATCATGAATAAATTATACAGATATGAGAATATGGGAAGATAACGTCAATTTTATATCCTACCGAGCATGTCAGAAATCTAGTTTATAGTGAAAACATATGAATGAAGCATGGCAATTTGAAACCCTGAAAAAATCATGTATGACTGAGCATGAACGTCACTTTCCAGTCTTCATAAAGACCAGAGACGTAGCATCGTTTTAGAAAAGGGGGCGGGGAAGAATCATCTGAAATAACTTGACAAGAAAAATTAAGGAAAGAGAAAGTTCTACAAAATCGCAATATCTTATTTCGTGGGGGTTTGGGGCGATAAGTTCCAACTTTTATTACCAAATTTATTTACTGTACATTGCCCTATTTATTCAAAAACACTATCAAATACCTTTTTGTAGAATTTGATTGAAACATGTTTGTTGAAAGAGGGGGGTTTAAACTTACAGCCAAATGTTCAATATGTATATTGTGTCCATCTCTGCAAAAAAAAGTGGAGAGGCGGGGGCTAAGCCCCCCTCCCCCAGGGTTCTGACGCATATGCTTGTATCCTATTAAGTTGTTTAACAACATGTAACGTACGTTCAAACAACTCTTTTCCTCTTCACTCCCCTCCCCATTTTCAAACTCCCCACTGAAAAAAATTTCTAGATCCATCCGCGCCTGGATTTCATTCAGACAGACACATCTTCTAAATAATATAAGTTCGTTAAAGAAATCTGTTTCTCAGCAAGATAGCAACAATAACTCTTAAATCTTTAATGTATATTTTGTCTTTATTCAAGTTTCTTAAAAAATTATATTATGCTAAAACTATAGTTGAGATTTAGTTACCTTTTACTTGTTTATATAATTTAATATATAAAAATTATATTATGATTAAGAAGCCAGAGGAAGCAGAAAAACCAAGTCAAAATGAGTTGTTCAAATGTGTAAATGACACACAAAGTTTTTGACTGAAGAATATCTCTATAAGACAATCTCGTTGACAGTTACAAAAATGATTATGGTAAAAAAAATGTCCAAAGAAGTAAAATATAAGGTCATTATAAGAGAGCCTTACTATTGCGGATCACAGGGACCAGTATCACAACTTAGCTTGGTTTTACGTGATCACTATATATTCCTCTTTTCTATTAGCTTTTTAGGTCATCTGGAGAAACTCAAGTGGCTTATTGTAATCCATATGGAATACATTGGAAATGTGAACTAGAAGAATAATTTATGAAAAACATTAAAAATAATATTTGACCTAGGGTTATATATTCGGGGAGTTGGGGTCCCGTCCACAAGTACCTGTGTATAAAAGTATATTATTATACTGTAAAATTACATATTTTCGTGCTGTCAAATTTCGTGGTTATAAAAAAAACTCTTGGATCGTGGGGATTTGAACTCGTGGATGAAGAATTGCTTAGTAGTAATGAATGTAACATTTTACATTTCGTGGTGGATATGAATTCGTGGGTCTATTCATATTTCGAAAACAAGGAAAATTAACCTCCCACGGAAATTTGTGATTTCACAGTACATTAAAGCCACAGGGACAACGTCTGATTTTATTTCTGCGACTCTGAAGATTTCCATTCTCTCTTTCATCGACCCAACTACATGCGTATACGTGTACTAAAAATCATCTATATCTCTTAGTCTACGAACGTAATAATTATTATAATGCTAAAAAGAAAACGAAACGAGGTTTTACGGGTATTTCCCTTTAAATAACGTACAGTCCGCCATTTGCAGAGAGAATATCAGATACCCTAACAGTGTTACATGTATGTATCTATTAGTCATGTTTTTTTAAGAATCTAAAACAGATATATTGAATTTCCAAAAAGAAAAAGATACAAAATTATGACTTTACTTTCTATAATGTAGACAATACTTATTTACACTGACAGAATGGATCACATTCCCCGTCTATCAGAGGTCCTGTATGTTGGTCTGTGTCGTAAGATAGGGACACCAACAGAAGTGGCCATCAGAAGGGATGTGAAGGACATGGATGAGATGATAAAGAAACCTATTTATAGACATAGAGGAAGTATTGTGATGGATAGTGGTAGTTATAGAGAGGGATTTAGGTTGAGATCATCTGACCGGCATAAAATGTTCTGGCTTTGCAAATATAAACTAATAACTGACATTTCCCAGTCTCGGTTTTATAATAACACAAAACATATCATTTTACTTATGGAAGATTCTGATACACCGCCAGGATTTGTCAAACTACGCCTCCTGACACCAGTGCAGATATCATGCCTTGTTCTCTTTAATGGCGGGGCTTATTTATCTAGTCGTCTCTGGAGAGAAAAAGATTTTCAGGACAGGATTGAGAAAGGTTCCTACTCTGAAAATGTTAGAATCCATGGTCCTTGTAGTAGTGGTTTCCTTTATGGCCTTCTTGAATTCGATGAAGCTTATTGTTTAGCTACTTTTCCTTGGTCTAAACTATTAGGACGTTGGGTTGAAAGATGTCAAAGGCATACCTGGCCGCCGGTACCTGTGTTAGAAAAAATCCTTAAAAATGATTGTCACTGTGTGCCTATTGGTAGTAAAGTTGGTGTGATATCTAACGATCTGGAATGGAGATTATCATTTTCTCAAGCCGAGCAACAACTGGTGTGTACCATGAATCATACACAATTTCTATGTTATGGACTCCTGAAAATATTTCTGAAGGAAGTTATCAATTGTGGGGATGATAAATTACTGTGTTCATATTACATGAAGACCACAATGTTCTGGATGATGCAATCAGGACAAATTGAATGGCGCCCGAACAACTTACTGGATTGTTTTTGGAGGTGTTTTAAATATCTTCTTCATTGTGTTTATTGTGGAGACTTTCCTAACTTTTTTATTCCACAGAACAACATGTTCATAAACAAAATTGTTGATGATGCACGTGGATCTCTTGTAGAACAACTTTATCAGTATTACAGAATGGGCATGCCCTGTTTACTGCTGAGTCCGACTCTCAGATCGTTCCTAGAACCAGCCCTCTGTACCCTGTCCTTTGTGTTATCCGCTGCTGAGGGAGAATTTATGAGTGCTGCAGAATTAGATAAATGTGGCATAACTGAATTGTGTAATTTAAGTTTTACTGCTAAACAAAAATGGGCATCTTATCTTTATTTAAAATCAGTCACAACTCTCTCGCGGTTATCAATTTCACCACACCAGTTGTTAACATTACAATTCTGTACTGCTGAGACTCTTGTTTCTTCAGCGTTCATGATGGTAAACAGTGCGTCATGTTGTACACATAGAAATATCTATAACTTAGATATAATTATTTGTGGCATGTTGAAAATGGCATCAAAATTAGGTCCTGTGTTCTTTTTACTTTATCTAGCATTGTATTATTATAGAACATGGAGATTTGTTAAAACACTTCATATCACATATATCACTCAACAAAGACTATCGCAGGCATTTGTTATATATAATATTGATACTATTGATAGGCAAAGATACAATGAAGCTGTAGGTAATCTACCTTTGTCTCGAAGAATGAAGATAGCTTGGGTGGAGAATGTGTGTTTATTTGAAAATATCCCCTGTATTGAAGAATTATATTTAGAACAGTTTTTGAGTCAACAAAATGGAAATTCACTCTTATTTGTATCACCGTTTGTAATGGTAGAGATGTTGTTGGTGTTATCTCACCATAGACTGGGTAATAGATCTCAGTGTTTACAGTCACTGACAGACCTACAGACACTGCTGATCTATGATGACGGGACATATGTGCCTTTATACACCAGAGACATATCTTGGCAGCTACTAGGAATCTGTCAACATGGTTTGGGAGACTTACACGGGGCTTTAGAGTCTTTTGAAGAGTCGCTCAGACAGGAATCATTCAATGAAATAAAAGAAGCTACATATATTAGAATAAAATGTGTTAAACAACAATTACATAGAAATGATAGCTGACAGCTGAAGATACCGTATCTAAAAAAAAAAATAAGTTAAATGTGGTGGTTAATTTGGGATTAATTTGTTGACCCACCAGCCTCCTTAATTTAAAAAGTAATGAAAATTATCTCCACTCTATATAACATTTACTTTTAATCTTGTACTTCCTTTTACAAGTTTGACTATTCTGAAGGATTATAAATATACCTAATTTTGAGATTGGTTAAAGGAACTCAAAACAAATAATGTTTTAAAAAAACCTTCATGCTTTTCGTATAATTTGAGGATAAAATAACCCAACTCACATAATGTTGTTAGCACGTGAAAAGTATATGTACTAGTAGGATATTATTATTTGCAAAAATATTACAACAGTACTGTCTTATTGAATTTATCTACAAAATCTTAACTGTGTTACACCTTTTTCATTTTAAAATCTTTCATAAAGACTTAATCGTAAGTTATATAATCTGGTGTCATAGTCTGCTTTTAAATAAAAGTAGACTGAAGAAGGATATGGAAATAACGAACAGTATTCAATCTCAACGTCCATTAAACAATATACAAAATAAGAGCAGAGCAAACACGGACCTCCGAAACATCAGAGGTGGGATCAGGTGCCATGGAGGAGTGAGCATCCCCTGAATATCTTTATATTAATAATATATTCATATTCGACATTAGATTGAAGCATGTCTTCGAAGAAATTAGAAAATTTCAAAACTTCAATAGCTTTGATAAATATCTACATCAAGTGAAGATTTTCATTTATTTTTTTTTCTTCTGAAAAACCACTCTCTGTTATCATTCTGTTTACTTGTAAGAACCCGTTTTTCAAAGCCACCTGTATGAAAGACTTTTTAAGTAACTGACTTAATTATACAAACTATTATGTACATATCAATTATAATACAGTTCTTAACGAACATTTAATGATATTAATTATGTCTAGTTATATGTATATCTATTTCTATTTATGATAAAATGACATTGTTTTAATTTAGAATGTCTTTGTATATTTATTTGGACTAAATGGCTTAATAACGACTGTAATACCCCGGTAATCAAATATTCAGGGGTATAAAACTATTTACCTATCCATCTGGATGTCTCTTTGTCCACAAAAATTTTAACCATAACTTTTAATTGGATAAAGCGATGGCTTTTCTATTTCAGATGTGTGTTTCTTGTAATTGTTATTTGGTACCAACACAATTTTGACCTTGACCTTGGAAGTTTGGACCAAGTTTTGCAACTTATTACCAAACCTTGACAATAACTTTTGATCAAATTGTCTTAAGGAATATTTACTTAAAAGTCTATTCATTATGACAAGACCTTTCCTTGGGTATAAATATATTTCGATATATTTAAGGTTAAATTAAAAAATGAAAAGTTTGAAGGTGAAAAATTACTGAATAGATTTAGATAAATCGTTTCAAGCAATTTCCAGTTCAAAGATATGTACACTTTTTCTTTATAGATGGAGAAAATATTCAACAGGGTCAATTTTCAAAGTGTTAAGGTCGTTAAACTGAAGCTGTAGAAAAAAAAAGCTCCATATATATATTTTAAGACGTTTCGTATCATTTTGCAATGTTCTTAAACACCTCAGGTTCAATATTCAACGTTGTTAAATTGCATTTTTCAAAACAATGAAGCTGTAGGTAATTTCATTTGTCTCGGAGAATGAAAAAAGTGTGGGTAGACAATGCTTTCTTATTTAAAAATGTCCCCTGAATTAAATAATTATATCTAGAACAAAATATGAGTCAACAGCATGAAATGGCAATCCTAAATTTATCCCCGTTTACAATAGTGAAGACGTTGTCAGTGTTATTTCACTATAGACCTGATAAAATATCTCAGTGTTTACAGTAACTGACATACGAGGGGCATTTAGAAATTAATGAATATTAAATAATAAAAACTATTTAACATAGTTTTTCAGGAAAATAGATTGAAAAAAATAAAAATTTAATTAATTTTCTACAAAATGTGAATAAATTAAATTTTTTTAAATAACGCGAACGCTAGATCTTGACATATGACGTAAACGACGTCTGCGACACTATAGCACGACATAATGGCAAGTAAAGTTCCTGATCATTTAGAGCAAAGGGCATACTGTAAAGCAAGGGCGCTTCTCGGTTATAACCCAACAGAAATTAAAGCCGATTTGAACAAAGTTTATGGACCTTCTGCTCTATCCTATCCAACTGTTTTGAGATGGGTACGTCGATTTCAAGACGGTCGGCAGACGCTTGCAGATGACCCTCGTAGTGGAAGACCTGCAACTGCCATCACCAAAAATGAAATTGACACTGTGAAACAGATCATTGCAACTGATGCAAGATACACCGTTAATGACATTTCATCTTTCAATGGGATCAATTCGTCAGCAGTGTTTGAAATATTAAAACACAGACTAATGTTGAAAAAAGTGTGTGCTCGATGGGTCCCCCATATTCTGACAAATGAGCAGAAGAGGGTACGGGTAGAAATTTGTCGACAGTTATTAGAAAAATATGAACATTGCGATTTCAGGCGTTTAAACGAAATTGTAACTGGTGACGAAACGTGGATTTTCTTTTTCGAACCAGAAATAAAGCGAAATAATAAAGTTTGGGTGACTGACGTCAAGGACAGGCCACAAATTGCACGTCGTAGCCGCACAGTGCGGAAGGTTATGTACGCTATTTTCTTTGATTCGAAGGGACCCGTCGTACAAATTCCTGTCCCAGAGTCTACCAGTGTCACTGCTAAATTCTACAAAGAAAAAGTGTTAACCAAAGTTGTGTTACATTATGAAGAGACCCGCCCTCGCACTGGAACCCGTGGCATACATTTACTCCATGACAACGCACCAGCCCATAAAGCCTCGATTGTTACCGAATATTTGACAGAGATGAACATTAAAACTTTACCGCATCCTCCATACAGCCCTGATCTATCCCCATGTGACTTTTGGCTGAATCCACTCATCAAGGATGCCTTAAGAGGACGACGATTTGAAAGCCGCCAGGCTGTAGGCAGTGCCCTATACCAGTGTCTGAAGGGTATCCCTAAATCGGCCTATAAATCGGCTTTTCAGAAATGGATTCAAAGACTGAAAAAATGTGTAGAAGTTAAAGGAGAATATTTTGAAGGACTGTGATAAGCTGAATCTGTGATATTTTTGTTGAATAAAATACAGCGAATAAATATTCATTACTTTTCAAATACCCCTCGTACCTACAGACACTGGTGCTCTATGATTATGGGACATGTGTGACTTACATTTAAGAGATCTATCCTGGCAGATACTAGGAATCTGTCAGCATGTTGTGGCAGACTTACACGGGGCATTACGATCTTATGAAGAGTCGCTTAGACAGTGTCCGTTCCACAAAATAAAAATAGCTACAGATCTTAGAATAAAATGTGTTACCGGTAAACAACAATTACAGAGAAATGTACACATGTAACAATATGTATCGTAATTTAAAGAGTTATAGATCAGGAAGCGATATTTGAGTAAAAAAATACTGTAAGAAATACAGTTAGAATTCTAAGGAAAATAGAAAAAAATAATTCTCCCATCTATACCAGCTGTAGCTTACAGAGTGACATGCGATGTTCTCATTCAAATCTTCATGTGCTGGTTATTGAAAGATTCAAACTGGGCCACAATATTCATTCTAGCGTACTGTTTCGGGGATGTCTTAAATCATTCATTAGGCAGTGCTATTCACGAGATTGTAGGCCTTTCAACTGCCGCTAGGGTTCGCTGTTATGAACGATAACTCATTGCTGAAACTTGTTTAGAGCAAGTCCGAGGTATCTAACTGTTTATACGGAAGTCAGTTTTTAGCATTTTCCCAAGTGTTTCTTTGCTGTCAATAGAATCCAGTGGTTTTAAAATTTAACACTAATGTTAAACTTATTTACTATCTAGTTGCGGACACCGTTTAAATAGATATAAGTAAACTTTTTAATTAAAATAAAAAGTGAAATCTATCCTCCTTCTTAGTTCTAACCTGATTAAATGTTTATATTCGGTCGTTCTTCTTCTTGCTAGGTAACACAAATAAGATAATAAATCGTTGCATTTACTTGTAAAAATATATACATTTATATAGGAAGCGCAAAAGTGCGCACAAATAAAACATGTCATTATATTTTCTTTCTCATAACAATCGTCAAAGAGAGTTAAAAATATTGAATAAAGTCTGTTCCCCATTCATTTGACCCTGTTATTACAGGAAGAGTGAAGACATTCTCCTTCTTTTCGTCAACGCTTTTGTGTACAAAACAATGTAAGGAACCCTTTTGTGTATATAACAATACCAATGCTGAAGTAGCCTAGCTATATGTAAATCCTATAAACGATAACTCATAAATCGGCAGTTAGTTGGTCATTTTTCACACATGATTTACCTGTCCTTAAAACAACACAACATCGTACAATTCAATTATAAATGATTAAACTTTTTAGTGATTTAATTAAATATATGCATAAGTTATTCTCTTTTTTGATAATTTCATGCATAATTAAATTTTTTTTTACTATATGTGCAACTTGAAAAATTAGTTGAAAGGCCTAGAAATTGGTCATAATCTGGCCTTTGGACACAGTCGACTGTCGACCTACCGACTTCTTGCAATTTACCAAATGTAGCTCCAATGGCTATAAGCTATAAGAAGTATCATGCTGACCATCACCGATACTTAGGGGAAGAAAACCAGGATGTAGATATTCCTACGCGGCTGGAGAGTTTCTTATTCCGCCACCCAATCACCAAAATATTGTGGCTTATTACCCATCCGATCATACATGCCATCCGACCCTTCTACAAGAGTCCGAAACCTCTGACGGGGTGTGAAATTATCAAGTGAACACTATTTGTCAATGGCCTTCAACGGATTCATCCTGTATTTTTTCGGCATTAAATCTTTGACCTACTTGTTTTCAGGAACGTTAATGGCGCTTGGATTCTATCCTCGATTTAATATAATAGGTTTTAATTTATATTTTATAACAAGTTTTACACATTCCTTCAACAAACTTTGCCAAAAAAGTGAAGATATGTCAAATAAGTCAAGATAAAAATTACACATTTTTCAACTGAAAATTGAAAATTTTGGTCAATATTTAAAAATCAACATCAATGACCTCAACTTTTTCTTTCATTATTTTAAAGTACTCGATACTTGTGACTGATCATGCTGATCTGCACTTAAGTCTTAAAAAGATTGATTTCAGAAAATGTTTATTGCCTATTTTCTTTTTAAATACCCCAAAATATGTAACTTTTTTGTGCAAAAAGGTCACACAATAATTTTCGCGCATTATTTTGCAAGATTGGTTCAATGATAAATATTACTCAAACTATTTTACATAAAATATAATCAAAATTATTGCCAGTATTACATCTAATTTAATATGATAAAGGTTAAAGTAATTAACCAGAGTTAAAATTTAAGTGCAAAAAGGTCAACTTAATTGTACCGTAGATCAGTAAGATGCACACTGACCCCCTATTTTCTCTGCGATTTTGAGTCACACTATATGAGTACTTATTCAAAATATAACTCTCAAAAAATCCTTGATTTAATTAAGGATAAATAACACAAACAAACTTTTTTTCAGAAATCAGCATTATTTCTCATATATTTACATTTAAATTGACAACCTGAATAATGCTTACCAAGTAGAGTGGGAGAATTTTATAAGCTTTTGTCATAAAGTTAAAAAATTGTGCAAAATTTTGTATGGAATTATATAGAAGGCAAAATAAAATCTCAAATCTAAGCACCAAGGAAAACCTACGATTTCTTTATATTTCAGGGATTTATTATTTATGTCATTACAAATTAAAATCAGTCAAAAAATATATATCAACCCGCGC